ATTTTATTTTATTCTTAAATCTTTACCACTGTGGTAAGGCAATTTTTAGACATTAAGGATAATACATGGATGCAGTGCAAGTATAAACTCCAGTGGTATGTTGATGATATTTAAAAATAATCCATCTTTTTGTTGAATATTGCACATTTTATAAATTATTTTAGAAAAGAAAAAAAGTACAGAAAGAAAGAAGAAAAAGAAATACAGAAAGAAGAAGCTTCCAATTTCTGATTTCCTTTGCTTCCAGTAATGACAAAATTATATCTTACTCTATAATTACCAAAGAAAGCACACTCTTTTCTATTACCCAGTTTTTTCCTAATCAGTGAAACCACAAATCTTAAGGGCATTTTTTCAGTTTATGCAAAAACACAAATAGATGTTTTTCTCTACTCTTCTAAATTAAAATTATTTTAGCCAACAAGTTCCTTCATCTTTACTAACCATTCGTCTATTGTGGGTATAATCAAAGTGTCAGGTTCCAGAAGGTTCTGGAGCACAGTTCTGGTTTGTAGAGTTTTATCTCTGTTCCAACACAAACTGACCAACAAGGAATGCTTCAGCAAAACAATGAATTCTAGTCAGGGCTAACCACTCAGTGCTCCCCATCACCTTTTAAATTCTTCCCGCCTCCCCACCCTATCACGTACACAATCCCATCACCATGTGACCCTGGAACCGTTCGTTTAGCAGGTGGCTGCTGCCCAGTTGGCCGCGGCCACCTCTCAGCTGTTTGCCACCATTGCCTCCCTCACTACCTCTCAGCTGTTGATGCTGCCACGGCTCCATTGTTTTATTAGGAGGCCAAGTGGGTGGAAGAAAGTTAGTCCCGGATGGTGGGCGGTGTTTGGATCATCCTGTCGCAATCTCCCCCACCAGAATGGCAGCCCCAGGCTGCCAGGCGCGCCAGAGTTGAGACAAAGATTTTCAGTTTTGAGTATATAATAGTCTTGCTGCAATTTTCATATATAAAAATAAAGTTCCATGGCTTTTTTTTTTCCTAGTTATCTATGTATTTATCCTAAAAGAAATGTCTCTGGTTTCAATTGTATATTAGTCTTCCAAATATTCTGAATTATTTATTTCTATTCAAAATACTTTTGGCTTGTTTACATGTCTATCATACATAATAAAGTTTCCATTCATGTTTTTCACATTTCCAGCAGCAAAAATTAAAAGACTTTATGCAACCTAGATAAATTTCTCTGGTGGTAATTTCCAACAATACATCATTTTATAAACATTATCTGTAAGACTAAAAGTGAAAATTTTAATTCTTTCAACCATATATTTCTCCATTGATCCATTTGTATATTATATTATACAGGTAATTGTCAATGTATAACCATAATTAAGAGTAGAATTTCAATCATTGAACAAAGCATGGTAAGGGTTAGTGTCATTAAGCCAGACATCCAAATGGCTCCTTTTTCAATGATTGCAATTCTGGCATTCCTGATTGCTTTCATTAAACAATCTCCCTGATTATTAAGTGGACAGAGAAACCAAACTACCAGCCAAAGAATTTCAGCTCTGCATTGAGATGAAATTCTACCAACAATAGCAATAGCACTTAGACTTATATACCACTTCATAGTGTTTTACAGCCTTCTCTAAGCAGTTTACAGAGTCAGCAATATTGTCTCCAACAATCTGGGTGCTCATTTTACCCACCTCGGAAGGATGGAAGGCTGAGTCAACCTTGAGGAAAGCTGAGTCAACCTTGAGCCTGATGAGATTTGATCTGCCAAACTGCTGGCAGCCGTTGATCAGCAAAAGTAGAGTACTGCACTGAAAACACTGTGCCACCATGGCTCATAACAGCAGGCAGCTGTTTCACAGCAAAAGGGCTGCCTGCCAGAGTGTTTATTTCCCCAAATCTTCAGGAATGAATCATCGAGGGAGGCCACTGTTCCTCAGACGGCCGGCTGTGAGTCCCTCCTTGTGAAGTGGGGTCATGGGGTTCAGATGGGTTTGCTGATCACGTACCTGGCTCCCTGCCACGTGGCAGCAGCCCTGCCCGAGCTCCTTGACGTTATCGCCACGGTGGCGGTAGATACCCCCAGACTTATGGTCATGGGGGATTTCAACCTGCCATCAACCTGCCTCCAGAGACATTGGAGGTGGCTTGGGAGTTCATGGCTTCCATGACAGCTATGGACCTGACCCAGTTAATTCATGGCCCCACCCACCCAGGGGGAAACACGCTGGACCTGATTTTTGTCTCTGGACAGTGGTTGAGTGATCTTGAGATAGGGGACATAGTCACCGAGCCCTTGTCATGGTCGGATCACTCTCTCCTTTGCCTTGACCTTTGAACCGCTATACCCCATCACAGGGAGGCGGAGCCGGTAAAATGGTTCTGCCCCAGGCGCCTGATGGAACCTGATAGGTTCCAGATGGAGCTTGGGCCATTTCCTGAGGCTCTGGCACACGCCTCGACTAGGAACCTAGTGGCCGCCTGGGATAGGGCAGCCACTGGAGCTCTGGATCGGGTTGTGCCTTTGTGGCCTCTGACCCGGCGCCGATCTCACCTAGCTCCTTGGTTCACTGTGGAGCTGAGGGAGATGAAGTGCTGGAAAAGACGCCTAGAGAGTAGTTGGAGGGCCAGTCTTTCTGAATCCAACCAGACACTGGTAAGATCTCATATTAAGAATTACCTAGTGGCAATAAAAGCAGCAAAATGTACATATTTTGCTGCTCTTATTGTGTCATCAGATAATCGCCTGGCCACTCTGTTTAGGGTGACCCACTTCCTGCTCCAGCAGGAAGCGTGGGAGGACCCCTTGGAGGGTAGAACCAAGGATTTTGTTCAATAACTACATGACAAAATCACTCAGATTCGGGAAGATCTGGACTCCGACTGGGTAGTTCCAGGGGGGATGACTGAGGCAGGTCTTGAGAATGTTACCTGGGATGAGTTTGATCCTGTGACCCCTGACGACGTGGACAGGATTCTGGGTGGACTGAACGTGACCACATGTTTATTGGACCTGTGCCCCTCCTGGTTAGTGCTGGCTTCCCGGGAGGTGACGCGAGGCTGGCACCAGGGGATTATAAATGCTTTGTTGGGTGAGGATGACTTTCCCGCCGCCTTGAAAGAGGCGGTGGTGAGGCCTCCCCTCAAGAAGCCTTCCCTGGACCCGGCAGTGTTGGCTAATTATCGTCCGGTCTCCAACCTTCGTTTTGTTGCGAAAGTTGTTGAGAGTGTGGTTATGCGACAGCTCCCCCAGTACCTGGATGAAACGATGTATCTGGATCCGTTCCAGTCAGGCTTCAGGCCTGGGTACAGCATGGAAACAGCATTGGTTGCATTGGTTGATGATCTCTGGAGGGCTCGGGACAGGGGTTGCTCCTCTGTCCTGGTCCTATTAGACCTCTCAGCGGCTTTTGATACCATCGACCATGGTATCATGCTGCACCAGTTGGAAGAGTTAGGGGTGGGGGGCACTGTATTACGGTGGTTCTCCTCCTTTCTCTCCGACCATTGCAGTCTGTGTTGCCAGGGGGGCAGAGGTCAACCCCGAGGCCCCTCATATGTGGGGTGCCACAATGGTCGGTCCTCTCGCCCCTTTTGTTCAACATTTATGTAAAGCTGCTGGGAGAGATCATCCGTGGTTTCGGGGTGGAGTACCATCAGTACGCTGATGACACCCAGCTGTACATCTCCACCCCGGATCACCCCAACGATGCCCTTGAAGTGATGTCCCGGTGCCTGGAGGCCGTATGGATCTGGATGGGGAGGAACAGGCTCAGGCTCAACCCATCCAAGACCGAGTGGCTGTGGTTTCCGACGTCCCGATATAGTCAGTTGACGCCATCACTGACTATTGGGGGCGAATCATTGGCCCCCACGGAGAGGGCTCGCAACTTGGGCGTCCTCCTGGATTCACGGCTGTCTTTAGAAGAGCACTTGACGGCCGTGACTGGGAGGATTTTTCATCAGGTTCGCCTGATCCGCCAGTTGCGTCCCTTTCTGGATCAGGACTCGTTACGCACGGTCACTCATGCCCTCGTCACCTCCCGCCTGGACTATTGCAACGCTCTCTACATAGGGCTCCCCTTGAGGAGCACCTGGAGGCTCCAACTGGCGCAGAGTGCGGCCGTGCGGGTGGTAATGGGAGCGACATGGCGCTCCCATGTAACACCTCTCCTGCGCGAGCTGCACTGGCTCCTGGTGGTCTTCCGGGTGCGCTTCAAGGTTTTGATTACCACCTTTAAAGCGCTCCATGGCTTAGGACCTGGTTATCTACGGGACTGCCTACTACCACCAATAGCCTCCCACCGGCCAGTACGCTCTCATAGAGAGGGACTCCTCCGGGTGCCGTCAGCCAAACAGTGTCAACTGGCGGCCCCTAGGGGGAGAGCCTTCTCTGTGGGGGCACCTACTATCTGGAATGAGCTCCCCCCGGAGATACGGAGGATCCCGGATCTGCGCACCTTCTGCCGCGCTGTGAAGACCTTTTTATTCCATCAGGCGGGCTTGGCCTAATCTCTTCCCTTTTTAAATATCTAAATTTTAATCTGTTTTTAAATTATTGGGGTGTTTTAATCTGTCTGGGCCAAAAATGATTTAATTTGATTTTATCTGGTTTTTAAATTTTGTGTATCTATGTATTTTATTGTTGGCTGTTCACCGCCCTGAGTCCTTCGGGAGTAGGGCGGTATACAAATCAAATAAACTAAACTAAACTAAACTAACCATCTAAAACAAAAAGGATGCCTAAACTATTACTTCTTGTATGACTTGGCCATTCAATAATTTAAGACAGAAAAACGTTTGCCATTCAATGGTACCAAATGACTTAAAATCCTAAATTAAAGAAAACAAATCATAGATTTATTAAAAACAAATAAAATTAAGCATAGATCTAAAAAGAGTGGCAGTAATAGTTGCATCATTCAGATTTTTCAAATTTGCCTCCCATTTTGAAATACAGAAGCAAAATCATTTCAGTTAAATAAAATTTTAAATTGGTCACAGACTTCAAAATTGGAAAATTCTCCTAGAAATACATATACATTTTTTTAAATTAAAACTTTCTTTTCATGAGCTGATGTTTATTGTTCAGTTCAGGTCTCATCACAATGATAAAACATTTGGGAAGAAAGATGCATACCAGTAAGCCAGCACTGGAGGAGGTCATGGAGAAGATCTCCACAGCTAACATATATTTTCCCCTTGTGCTTAGATAAGTTGGAATAAAGCACAGCCAAACACTGCAGAAGACCAACATGCTGAAGGTAATGAATTTGGCTTCGTTGAAACTATCAGGTAACTTCCTAGCTAGAAAAGCAGCAGAGAAGCTAACCAGAGCAAGAAAACCCATAAAGCCCAAAACACAGCAGAACATGACTGAGTCTTCATTGCACTCCAAGATGACTTCTTCAGACATTGACTGCATATCACAATCTGGATATGGTGGGGATATTATTAGCCATACAGCACAAATACATATTTGAACAAAGGAGCAGGAAATAATAATGTAGCTGACCATTCTTCCACCCATCCATTTCTTCAATCTGGAACCAGGTTTGGTGGCTATGAATGCTAGAACCACAACAAAGGTTTTGGCCAATACACAAGAAATTGCTACAGAAAAGATGAGGCCAAAAGCTGGTTGTCGAAGGAGACACAAAATCTTATCTGGTCTCCCGACAAATAGAAAGACACAAAGGAAAGAGAGGAGGAGGGAAACTAGAAGTATATAAGTGAGATTTCGGTTGTTGGCTTTGACAATGGGAGTGTCTTTGTGTTTCATGAATATTGTGATGATCAAAGTTGTCATTAAAGAAAAACAAAGGGAAAGAACAGTCAGACTGATCCCCAAAGGTTCTTCGTAGGACAAAAAGGTGATCCGCTTTGGAATACACATATTTTTCTCAGGATTTGGATATTGATCTACAGGACATGGGGAGCAGTCATCCATATCTAAAAAAGAACACAGTGGAATTCATACAGTTGATTATAGACAGTGTTGTATCCCAATGTCTTAGTCCCGTTATAGTTGGAAATTTCCTACCTTTCTCCTTTGATATTTTCCCTTCTGGGCACAGCCAGCAACCATAGCAGCAAAACGACTCCCCTTCTTTCTTGGCCTTGCAGTGTCCTGTCTCACAAGGATCATTACACAAAGATAAAGGTAATGCCTATCATTGAATGAAAAAGAATGTTTTAAGATACAGAGGTGAAATAAATGCTTGGAGTGATACTGTTAAAATAGAATTAACATAATAAAAATGAATTGATAAGCAAAAGTGATGTCATGACATCATTTTAGTTGTATTTGTTGTGAAATTATAATTAATTAAATATATACAGTTATTGGCATTTTCCCAAACCATCTGTCAGTGTTCCAAGTTGAATTCTAATGGAGTTCCTCATTGGAATTCAGAACTCCAAGACGAAGTCCATCAAAGTAGGAATTTATTAGAGAAATCATGTTGGCACATCTGGAAAAAATCCAAATCTAAAATCCCACATTTTCCCCCACCTACACTAAAGCTCACACCCTGCCGTGTTACATTCACATCATATACCCAATCAATCTCCTGCCTCAGCTGCTACCAAACTTCAGTCACTACCCTCCAGCAACCCGTCCTTGATCTCATGTGAAATAATGTTGTTGTGATTAGGTTCTTGTTCCCACAGCTCGCCATCCTCCCTTCTCTCCAAAGGCATTATCTATGCTGGTCAGTTAAAGTTAGTTTTCTCAACTTCTGAATTATGATCTGATGAAATGTAATACAGTGTATTAAAGCTTTTACATCAAAACCATGAAAACCATAGTCTATAATTCATAGAGTGCAGAGGGCACAAAGTAAAGGATACAATATTCTGTACCAAGTATTAGAAAAGTAAACATTATAGATGTTATAGATATTTTTTCCTTCTGCAGGGCATTTGTTCTTAGGTTAGTTCAGAGATGATGCTCTGGAACAATCATCAATATATATTTTATGCTACATGAATGAAGACAGACCAATTTAGATTTAAACAGCTAACCTGATTAAAGCCTACTGGCCACGTGATGGAATCTACAGAAATATTGAAGAACTTCTCTGGTGGAGCTGTGGGATCTATCATTCCAACTTTGACTCTAACAAAGGATTTGTTTGGGAATGTGATCCAATTGATAATATCATATCCACCAATGAATTCTCCATTTTTATCAAAGGAGATCTTTTCACCAACACTGTTGTTGAATCTGACACTTCTCAGAAAAGAATGAACCTGAAATACAGAGACAGTCAAAGAAAAACAGGAGGCAGAAATATATGTTCAAAACATAACAATGATTCCAAAAGGGAGTAGATATGACACTACTGAAAAACAATTAAACTGTATTAACAGGATTGCACAGTAAAATATTAACAAAAAATTATCTATGATCTGAGTTATTGCTCAGGTAAAATCCTTCAGTATAAAGCAAGAGAATAATAAGACAAAATGTAATGTCTTTACATTTACTATATGTATGTTACTTTTCAAAAGAGGCAGTAATGATCGTAAGATATATGAGGTTATGGTGACCTAAACAGGATCACTTGAATTGGAGGAGTTATGTGTGTTCAATAATGACTCACATACAAAACTGGGCTACAATGTCTGACATTTCCACTCCTGGTTAACTGCCAATAAAATAAGATCATCAGGTTCTCTCTCTTGCCTGGCTATTGTGTTACAAATGGGGAAATATCCATATCTTTATAGATCAGAGGAATGGCCCTGAAGAACCTTATAAGAGTTGCCCAACCAATGGTCACAAGCCATGGTCATTCTTATCTTCAAAAAGAGAGACCCCAACCTAGTTGAAAATTACAGACCAATCTCCTTATGTTGCGTCACCTGTAAAGTCATGGATCAATCATCCACCAATCTATTATCCTCCACCTAGAGACAAGCAACCTACTCTCCAACAAATAATTTGGTTTCAGAAAAACATTTCTCCTGTAATCTACAACTACTACACTGCAAAACATATGGACTACACATCTCGATCAGGGCAAAGCAATAGATGCAATTTACATAGACTTCTGTAAAGCCTTTGATTCACTGGTACATGATAAACTACTTTTAAAATTAAAATCTTATGGCATGTCTAGACTCCTACATAAATGGATAGCTACCTTCCTGTTAAACAGGCAACAAGTGGTCAAAAAAGGAAGCGCTCTATCAAATCCTGTACCTGTTAACAGTGGTGTTCCCCAAGACAGCGTTTTAGGACCAATACTCTTTATACTTTACATAAATGACCTTTGCGATCATATTAAAAGCAACTGTGTTCTCTTCGCTGATGATGTAAAACTATTCAACACCACTGACAATGCTACTACCCTTCAAAAAGATCTTGACTATGTGTCAGTTTGGTCCTGCGGCATGCGCAAGATGGCAGTCCTCTGGAAGATCGGCTGGTGAGGATATTGAGAGGATTGAATGTTTGGGAGTGGTGGGGGCTGAATTTCCATCTTTCACCCCCACATCCAGTTTGCTGAGAGCTTGGCGGTTTGGATGAGCCGTCCCTGGCTGGAACTGGCTCTCGGATGGCCCGGGGACAGCGATTTGAGTGATTTGAAGTGAAGAAGGATTGCATCAGTTGGGCGCCGCTGGGAGGGTGGCGGCAGCTCTCTGGGATGGGGCCCGGGCCGTGGAGATTTTGCGGTGTGATGGGTGCAACTGGATGTTAGAGGCTGCTCCAATGGCAATGGGCTCTGACCTGAAGGCTGTGGGGATGTACTGCTCAGCTTTTGTTTAGCTGGGACTTTGAAATCCCCCACTGTGACTTGAGGCCCTGGAAGATCTGGGCAAAGACTGTCCCAAGAGGATCAGCGGTGGCTGCAAGGGTGAGTGTGCCAAGGAAGATCTGAGGGGCTGGGAGTGGGTTAGAGGGGATTGACAATCCTCCATCTTTGTCTCCCCCTTGGAATCCCTCTCCACCCCAGGATATGGCCTCTCCTGACTGCTGCCCTGACTCTGTTTTAGGCCGGACCAGTCTGCTAGCTTCAGTGTTTTGGAACCTTACCATCACCATTCCTATTTATTGCCACCTGACCCCCCTTTTTTTTTTTCTGTCATCATTCTATTACTGCCTCCCCTCCATCGCCTTCCATCGATCTAGGCACAGGGGAAAGGAATTGCGGGCCAAGGGCAAGCGACTGAGAGTCTTGGACTAGCGCTGCTATTTCATTCCGGGGGAATGGTCTACAAACTCCGCTAGTTGCTTTTGCCACCTAGCTGTCATGAGAGGGCTGCTGCGGTCATTTTCTCCCTGGTTAAAAATCGTCACAGCTGTTTTTCTGACTTTTTCATCGCTGTGAGAGAGCAGATGGATTTCCAGTACCCTTACGCCCTATGGCGCTGCATTTGCCTCCCTGCTCTACCATAGCCGGCGCCTATATTCACCTTTCATCTACCTCTTGCATTTTCAACTGGCTTACACTTTGGCGGACCTCCTCTCGCTGCGAGATGCCCCCCTCTCATGGACTTTGCCTTCTAGTCTATCGAAGGCCTACCTCAAGGACGGGTTTTAGAACCCCAAGAGGTGGCATGTTTCAAAGCGGGGCCTGAGGGGCTTTTTAACTAGGGTTTTAAATCAAATTTTAAGGTGACCCAGGAGGTGGGGGGTAGTGGGTTTGGGGGAAAACCCACTGAGGGTGGGGCCTGGTCCAGCAGGGGGTTGCAGCATGGGGGGGTGCGGGGCTCTGGGACAAGGAGGGGGCTATAGTCCATACCAACGAGGGCTATTCCATTAGTACTGTGGGTGGGAGGGGCAGACATAGTGGGAGCAAGGGGCCATATCCTGTTGTGGGGGCACATGCTCGCTGTCTCTGAGTGGTGGTGCGCTCTGGCCCCCAATGCTCCTCTCGTCCCCCGGGTTGCACAGAGCCTCAAGGCCCTGGCCTCTGGTTGATGTTGTGCAATGCCAGGTCTGTGGTAAATAAAGCCCCGCTCATTTGTGATCTTGTTTTGGAGGGGGGAGCGGACCTGGTAGGTATTACAGAAACCTGTTTGGACCAGGAGGGGGTTCCCCCTGGTTGAAATGTGCCCACCAGGTTTCCATGCATTCCATCGACCGAGGCCTTAGGGTAGGGGCGGAGGGGTGGTGGTTGTTATAAAGGAAGATCTTGATCTGAAGAAGGCCACTCTACCTCAGATAGACGGATGTGAGTCCCTCCTTGTGAAGTGGGGTCATAGGGTGCAGGTGGGCTTGCTGGTCACGTACCTGGCTCCCTGCCACGTGGTGGCAGCCCTGCCTGAGCTGCTCAACGTAATAGTCGGGGTGGTGGTTGATACCCCCAGGCTTAGGGTCATGGGGGATTTCAACCTGCCATCCATTGGTGAAACGTCTTTTTTTAAACAAATTTGATTTATATGCCGCCCTTCTCTGGAGACTCAGGGCGGCTTACAATGTGTTAAGCAATAGCCTTCATACTTTTGTATATTTATACAAAGTCAGCTTATTGCCCCCACAAACTGGGTCCTCAATTTACCTACCTTAGAAAGGATGGAAGGCTGAGTCAACCTTGAGCCTGGTGAAATTCGAACTTACAGTAATTGCAGACAGCTGGTGTTAATCACAATGCTATCAGTCTGCTGAGCCACCAGCAGGTGGAGTCTGAGGCAGCTCGGGAGTTCATGGCTTCCATGACGGCTATGGACCTGACCCAATTAGTTCATGGCCCCACTTACATGAGGGGGGGCACACGCTGGACTTGGTTTTTGTCTCTAGTCAGTGGCTGAATGGCCTGGATATAGGGGATGTAGTGATTGAGCCCTTGTCATGGTCAGATCATTCTCTCCTTCGACTCGATCTTCAGACTGCTACAACCTGCTGCAGGGAGGCGGAACCAACCAGATGGTTCCACCCCAGGTGCCTGATAGTTTCCAGATGGAGCTTGGGCCTTTTCCTGAGGTTCTGGCTCACGATCCGACTGAAGACCTGGTGGCTGCCTGGGATAGGGCGGCTGCTGGAGCTTTGGACCGTGTCATGCCTTTGCGGCCTCTGACCCGGCGCCAATCTCACTTGGCTCCCTGGTTTTCCGAGGAGCTGAGGGAGATGAAGCGCTGGAAAAGACACCTGGAGAGCGGTTGGAGGGCTAGCCTTTCCAAATCCAACCAAACACTGGTGAGGTCTCATATTAAGACCTACCTAGTGGCAATAAAAGCGGCAAAATTTAATTATTTTTCCACTCTTATCGCGTCTGCAGATAACCGCCCAGCTGCCCTGGTTAGAGTGACCCGCTCCCTGCTCCATCCAGGAGCGTGGGAAGACCCCTTGCAGGGTATAGATGAGGATTTTGTGCAGTATCTGCACGATAAAGTCGCTCAAATTCGGGAAGGACTGGACTCCGACTGGGTAGATTTGGGTGGTGGTGGGGAGATGAGGGCGAATGGTCTTGAGAGTGTTATCTGGGAGGAGTTTGACCCTGTGGCTCCCGAGGACATGGACAGGATTCTGGGTAGGCTTAGCATGGCCACATGTTTATTGGACCCGTGTCCCTCCTGGTTAGTGCTGGCTTCACGGGAGGTTACATGTGGCTGGCTCCAGAGGATTATCAATGCTTCTTTGAGTGAGGGTTATTTTCCCGCTGCCTTGAAAGAGGCGGTGGTGAGGCCCCTCCTCAAGAAGCCCTCCCTGGACCCAGCCTTTTAGCAAATTATTGTCCAGTCTACAACCTTCGCTTTGTGGCAAAGGTTGTTGAGAGTGTGGTGGCGCGACAACTTCCCCAGTACCTGGGTGATGTGATCTATCTAGATCCGCTCCAGTCGGGTTTCAGGCCTGGGTACAGCATGGAAACGGCATTGGTTGCATTGGTTGATGATCTCTGGAGGGCTCGGGACAGGGGTTGTTCCTCTGTCCTGGTCCTTTTAGATCTCTCAGCGGCTTTTGATACCATCGACCATGGTATCGTGCTGCACCAGTTAGAGGGGTTGGGAGTGGGGGGCACCATGCTGTGGTGGTTCTCCTCCTTTCTCTCTGACTGGTCACAGTTTGTGTTGGCACACCTTATGTGTGGAATGCACAAGGGTCGGTCCTCTCGCCCCTCCTGTTCAACATTTATGTGAAGCCGTTGGGTGAGATCATCTGTGGTTTCGGGGTGCAGTTCCATCAGTACGCTGATGACACCCAGCTGTACATTTCCACCCTGAACCAACCCAATGATGCCCTTGCTGTGATGTCCCGGTGCCTGGAAGCTGTGCAGACCTGGATGGGGAGAAACAAGCTCAGGATCAACCCTGCCAAGACCGAGTGGCTGTGGCTTCCAGCATCCCGATATAGTCAGCTGGTGCCATCGCTGACTATTGGGGGTGAGTCGTTGGCCCCCACAGAGAGGGCTCGCAACTTGGGTGTCCTCCTGGATGCACGGCTGTCCTTGGAAGAACATGTGGCGGCCATGGCCAGGGGGGCATTTTATCAGGTTCGCCTGATCCGCCAGTTGTGGCCATTTCTGGATCGGGACTCCTTACGCACAGTCACTCACGCCCTCGTCACCTCCCGTCTGGACTACTGCAATGGTCTCTACATGGGGCTCCCCTTGAAGAGCACCCAGAGTCTCCAATTGCTCCAGAATGCAGCCGCGCGAGTGATTGTGGGAGCAACATGGCGCTCCCATGTAACACCTCTCCTGCGCGAGCTGCACTGGCTTCCGGTGGTCTTCCGGGTGTGATTCAAGGTGCTGGTTACCACCTTTAGAGCTCTCCATGTCTTAGGACCCGGGTATCTTCGAGACTGCTTTCTGCCACCAAGAGCCTCCCGCCGGCCAGTACGCTCCCACAGAGAGGGGCTTCTTGGGGTGCCGTCGGTCAAACAGTATCGGCTCGCGGCCCCCAGGGGGAGAGCCTTCTCTGTGGGGGCACCTGCCCTATGGAACGAATTGCCCCTGGAGATAAGGAGGATTCCAGATCTACACACCTTCCACCGCGCCCTCAAGACTTTTCTATTCTAACAAGCCGGGCTGGCCTAACTCTTTTAATTGAGTAATTTAGTTCTTAATTTGATTTTAAATTGGGGGTGTTTTAATTGTCGTGGGCCAATACTATTTAATTTGTTTTAAACTATTTTTAAATTTTGTATTCTATCTATTTTTATCTTCGGCTGTTCACCACCCTGAGTCCTTCGGGAGAAGGGCGGTATATAAATTTGAACAATAAATAAACAAATAAACTTCAAATCTCAACCAACAAATACTCTGTCTTGCACAATGCCAAAAAAAAAAAAAATCAGAACATAAAATACAAGTTAGATGGACATGATCTTGTAGATGAACCTCATTATGTCAAGGACCTTGGAGAACTAATTTCTAAAGATCTAAGTACCAGAGACCACTGTAACAAAAAGACATTAAGAGTTGTTGACCTAATCTTGTATAGCTTCTTCTCTGGTAATATTGTACTACTAACTAGAGCATACAAAACATTTGTTAGACCAATTTTTGAATACAGCTCATCTGTCTGGAACCCGCACTGCATATCGGACATTAATACAATTGAGAGGGTCCAGAGATATTTCACAAGAAGAATCCTCCATTCTTCTACCTACAATAGAATACCTTATGCCACCAGACTTAAAATTTTGGGCTTAGACAACTTAGAACTACACCGCCTTCAGTCTGACCTAAGTGTAGTACATAAAATTATCTGTTACAATGTCCTACCTGTCAATGACTACTTCAGCTTCAACCACAACAACACACGAGCAAACAATAGGTACAAACTCAAGGTAAACCACTCCAAACTTGATTGCAGAATATATGACTTCAGCAATAGAGTGGTCAACGCCTGGAATGCACTTCCTGACTATGGTTTCCTCCCCAAACCAGGGGTGAAATCCATCAGGTTCTGGAGAACTGGTAGCAGAAATTTTGAGCAGTTTGGCGAACCAGTAGCGGAAATTTTGAGTAGTTTGGAGAACCAGCAAATACCACTTCTGGCTGGCCCCAGAGTGGGGTGGGAATGGAGTTTTTGCAATATCCTTCCCCCAGGAGTTGGGAGGGAATGGGGATTTTTCAGGATCCTTCCCCTGCCACACCCACCAAGCCACGCCCACAGAACCAGTAGTAAAAAAAATTGGATTTCACCACTGCCCCACAAGCCCACAAAACTTTAACCTTAGACTGTCTATTGTTGACCTCATCCTATTCCTAAAATGTCTGTAAGGGGTGTGCATAAGTGCACGAACGTGCCTACCGTCCCTGTCCTAATGTCCCTTTTCATGTATTCAAAATCATGTTTATACTCTTATCTATTATCTTATATATGCTTAACAAAATAAATAAATAAATAAATAAATAAATAATAAAATAAAATAAAATAAAATAAAATAAAAATAATAAAATAAAATAAAATAAAATAAAATAAAATAAAATAAAATAAAAATAAAATAAAATAAATAAAATAAAATAAAATAAAATAAAATAGTCAGTAGTAGGGCAACAGACTGATAAGCTGAAGTTGAGTCTGGGTCAAGATAAGTAATTTGAGAAAAAAATTCAGGAAAACCTCTGGAGATTCTCAGTCATCCAGGTCATGGTTGTCCTAAAGATGTTTTTTTTCCAAGAGGAAACTGGACTTTCTGGTTTTTATTTGAGAACACAAAGAACTTCTTGGATGAGAAGACAAATGTCTTCAAAAACCCCCCCAGAAATTCCAGTTGCCTCTTGAAAAAAAACACCTTTGGGATTTCAGGAAAACATAGTTCACACAACATGAATGTAAGGGAGGGATAAGCAGACTGTTAATGAAACTGTTACAATAACAATAGTGCCGGCCGACATGGAATGGGTTTCTTAGTTTGGACTACATGTTGGGATTGACAGTATTTTGGAGGTCTCTATAAACAAGGCAGTACAGGATCACAAAATTACAGGTTCTTCTCATTTCTTCACTGATGATTCAAACTTGCAATAACAGTGGTACTTCTGTTGTCTTTGGAATACTGGTTTTTACAGGGTCCCTGCAATTGGATGGTCACAATCTGGGCATGTGGAAAATGGCCTTGATTTATGACTATTGCAGCTTCCCAATCTCATGATTTCTAGCCTTTCCCTATGGCTTCCCACAAGGAAAGTAAATGGAGAACTTGGAAGAAAGTTGGAAGTTGTAATCACGTGGGGTCCTTGCTTATCAATAATAACTGGGGGGGTCTGCCGGAATTGTTGTCGCTAAGCTGGATGGTCAAGTGACACCACACTTTATAATTGCATCACTTAGCAATGGATATTCAGCCCATCACTAAGTAAGGACTACCTGTAAAATGGACAGTAGAAAACAAAATCTAAAATTCCTTTAGAAAATACTTTTAGAACACAATATTCTAACTAAAGAAATAACATCTAAATTAAAGACATTCAGCAGTGGAAATAGATGATTGCTGAAATGTGTTCAAAAAGAGATTGAACCAACATATTATAAAGCAAAGGCTGGATTTGATGCCTTAGATTGCATTTTGAATACTATGATTCTTTCACCTCATGTGACTAGATATGTCTTGCAACAGGTAGGCTCAAAATACATATTCTACTTTGGTCCAATTTTCTTAAAGCCCTGAGATTTAAAAACACTTTTATTCCCTCACCTGTTTCTTTTGGAACTGAGTCCCTGGAAACATTAACCACTATTTTCTTTCTTCTCTATTCATTTATTATAAACTATACATTGTTGTTGGGAATACCGTTGTGTAAAAAAGCAGGTGAGCCAAAAATGGTATGTGAAAAGGTGAAAATCCAGCAACTGATGGAAAGGGAACTTCTGTCAAAAATGTCAAAATGTCAAAAGCCATAGACCAGGGGTCTGCAACCTTAAACACTCAAAGAGCCATTTGGACCCATTTCCCACAGAAAAGAAAACACCGGGAGCCACAAAACCCTTCCCATGCCTGACTATTTCTTGAGCGGCCACAAAACTAGCATATGTAGTTGAATTAAACATTTTGTTTCCTTCTGAAATTTTTCTTTTCTTGGATTTATCCATGGTTGGCCTACCGGGGGTTGAAAAGCTCAATAAATCGCATGTTGGTGGATTTCGCACCTTGGAAGTTATGACGCATATTTTGAATGACAGGGAGCCACAGCAGAAGGGTGAAAGAGCCACATGCGGCTCCATGCCCTACACGATATTATTTGTTAGAGATGTTGCAACTACAGATTTGGTGGTTACTCCACTAGAAGGCTTACCTGCCACCACATATGATTGTCGAAATATTTCCTTCCTTCTTTCACTGTTGTTTTTCCCCTGGATTTGGATAGAGAGAGAGATTGCAAAGCATGTGCCACAGCATAGACTGCATTGTAAATATTGTAACTCTGTGCACTCATCCGTGTTTCAAAAACAGATGTGGGAAGGGTCTCAAGCCTCTCCTGTCCAGTACATTTCTTCTCAGATGTCTCAGTTTTTGAATTTGAGAAGAAACATTCGAATGCCTGTTCCCAAAAATCTTTCCGAAAGTGATCATGTTGGTTGTTGTTTGGATTTAGGTTTTGAAAAAAATCCTGGAAGTTTTGGACCTCTTTTGTGTGAACTGCAAAGGATAAAACACCATGTAGGAAATGAATGTCCATAAATTTCTCAATGGAGTTTGAAATAAAATCTGTCTGAGCGGATGTAATCAAGATTTTTGTCTTTTTTGGTATATCCACCACTTCTGATAACTGGAGGAGACTTCTCAGAAATGACATGGAGCGAATTTCACCATACACGATTATCACATTGGCTGTGCTGTTCATGAGAACATGGTATATATGTAGCATATTGTCTATGATATCAGTAAAATCACTGTAAAAAGCTAAGATTGGGAACTCTGCTATGAATTCAATGCAGATGCCATGTTCAGAAAATGTAGGGAGCACTTCTTGTACAAATCTCTCTCCTTTGTCATCATTTACCACAAGAATTCCAATCCAGATCCATCTAAAATACAAAAATAGCTTCAGGAGACCCTTATCTTCATGCGATTCATCTGGAAACATTTGTTGGAAGAAAACTGATTGAGTCTCTTTATCCATGACTGGAGCAGAGCCATAGGTCAACTACAGAAAGATAAACATATGCAATTTCAAAGGTCTATGTGAGCCTCTGGAAATGTGTAAATTTATTTGGGTAACTTTATTCTTATATACTGAAACATTATGCAGCTAGTTGTGCTTATTTAGGAATATCAACCAAGATGTCACTCTTAAGGTACCAGTAAATATCTTTTCCTGGAAGTAATACCCCCACTGTCTATTCAGATTTTCTCATTACTCATGCAGCTCTGCTATCAAGCAGAAAAATATATCCAGGAATCTGAAAATTTACTCCCTTCTAAAGAGAGAAAACTACAGACTTCTGGGGTGGTATGGCAGAATAATTATACTAATATAAATAATATTACAATACTATAAATATTATATAAGTAATGTATCTTCAGCATCTCTTACCTGAGGAGCTTTATAGATGGACAATAAAGTTGCCATGTGAAGAGAGATGTCAGGTGCTCCAATAATTGCAGCCAAATTTTGGGGGATGCCACACTTGTAGTTAGGGATGAATTTGCCCTGAGTGAAAGGCAGCAACATTGAGGCAAAGTAAGTCCATCCGGGACTAAAATTGCTGTTAAAAATGTGGAAGCCCAGCGTGATGTTGGGTAGGATCTGACGATTTTCATTAATCTGTTTTATAGTAAATGCTAAAGCCAGGATATGCTGGTAATTCTGAAAAACTATTCTGTAAAACATTTTTTAAAAAATCCATTAAGAAAACTCTGCTTCACATTATGACACTTCTGATCTTTCAGTACAATATTTTATGGAATATGTTTTAGTGCAATGTACAGGTAGTCCTTGACTTACAACCGTTCATTTAGTGACCATTCAAAGTTACAACAGCACTGGAAAAAGTGACTTATGATCGTTTTTTACACTTACGACCCTTGCAGCACTCCCAAGGCCACGTGATCAAAATTCAGACACTTAGCAAATGACTCACATTTATGATGGTTGCAGTGTTCCAAGATCATGTGATCAGCTTTTGTGACCTTCAGATCAGCAGAAGCCAGATTCACTTAACAACCGTGTCATTAACTTATTGACTGCAGGGAGTCACTCAAGAAAGATCGTATATTGGGGAAAAACTCACTTAACAAATGTCTCACTGAGCAACAGAAATTTTGGGCTCAATTTTGGTCACAAGTTGAGGATTACCTGTATTTAGTATTCAATTCAGATTCCTAAAAATGCAGACCAAAATATTTGCATGTTTATACAAGTCCAGAACCTGGAATGAGAAAGGCTCAGTATCAAATTCCAGCTGTTAAGGATGGTTTATATCACGAAGAAAAATGCTGAATTTTGATACTAGAAATATCAAATGATAAAAACATATGTGCTCCCACCTAGATTTTAGTGGTAGATCTTCATGAATTAATCCTTACCTACCTCAATATCTACATGTAATGCTTGTTACATATGATTTGTTGAAATAGAAATTTGGCCTTTTTTCAAATTTATGTGGAAGCTTATGAATCAATTTAGGCAGCCTATTTAAGATTACTGGAAAATGTTTTTTTGCAATGACCAGAACTTGAAAATAGATTGATCGTGTACTTGCATAAGTCTATCTTGAAGTCCCTGAGAAGGATGTTGGCTGAAATCAATGGGGTCAGAAAATGTCAAGCATACAGAAATAACGCCAGCAATGTTAACATCTCCAGGCTGATGATAGGTGTGATGAATAGGAAGAGGTTCAACAAGATCACATTGAAGGCTAGGATGCTTGCAGACCACTTGAGGCAATATGGTTAACAGAGATTCCATGATTGCTAACAACTTCCATAAATGTCCTCTTTCTGTGTATAAATGGCAGCAACAAGATCCTGTTTCTAGGAGATCATACTGGACTGACTTTTTCATCTGTTTTTCAGACAAAAGTAGAAATTGCAGCATAGTGTCAAATCAACTCATAGAGGAATTTTGAGCGTGTATTTCATGGTGAATATTAACAATATCCTTCAGGGTCAATTCCTCATTTTTCCATAGTGTCCCATGAGATTTGGAAGAGACAAACTGCCTAATTCTATAATAATGGTGAGACAGTCACCTGTGTAAAGATCAGGCCAGGGCCTCTGGAGGGAGGGAAGCCTAAGCCAAAAGACAAAGAATGAAAAACAAGATATGAGTTTATATAAATATATAAATGGCTGTAGGCATTTACTGTATATAGATCAGGGGTCCTCAAACTTTTTCAACAGGGGGACAATTCATGGTCCCTCAGACTGGGGGGGGTGGAGCATAGTTTGATTTTTCTAATGACTGACTGGGTGGGTGTGGCTAGGGGGGGTCATTTGACTGGGTGGGTGTGGCCAATTTAGCAGTCCATTTTGTCAATTTAGCAGTTCATTAAACAATATACAGCAGCCCCCTTTTCAAATCTTCTTTTTAATACTGCATGAAGTTTTTGTTCTAGGTTTTTTTTTTTTTACCAGGGGGGAGAGGTTGGCAATGCCTGGGGAAGGAAAAGCATGCTTTCCACAGGTCTCATGGCTATATTTAAAGGGCCAGCTAATGTCATTGGTGTTGGGAGATTCATTGGTGAGGTGATAGTGACTGGAGGTGCGATGTTCACTGGACCAGTAACTGGAGTTGGTAAATTAACAGGAGAAGTCATGGACAAAGGGCCGGCTATGATAACCGGGTGGCCTAAGCTCATTGGCTGGAGATGTTAACCATGCTGAAAAATTTGGCTGGGCATATTCATATTCATTGCAGCAGCCACAATGCAGGGAGCTGCTCCTTCTGTACTCACCCCCCAATTGTCAGCAGATGCCCCGTTTCTCCTGGGAAGCAGTCACATCCCAAGTGCATTCTTTCAAAGCCGGGGGGGATGGCGTGCCCCTTTGTGGGCCCCCTGCTTGATTTGCCCCCTATGCTGACACCCCCTGCTCTTCCTCACCAACATCCAGGGTTTGTGCCAGGGTGGCCAGACCCATCATGCCAGTGGGGCCAAAGATGGTGATTTTCTTGCAGGCTGTGGCAACCAGGCCTCCAGTTGCACAGCTTCCCTTCGTGCTTTCACTGTTGCCTCCTCACTGCTCCAAGCCAGGGCCAAAACAAGCCCTTCCACCTGGAGCTCCACCCGGGCAACTGGACCTTGACAACTGGACTGTTTCTCTCTGCCCCCTTTCCTGTCTTGTCTGCTGGATTGATGCAGGGGGACGTCAACCCTAGCTTTGCTGTCCATTGCAGCTAGGAATCTCAAATAAGGCCAAGAATGAATGTTTGTGTTGTAGCTGCCCTGTGTTAGATATCAAGTACAGTTCAAATGAGCCAATCAGGAATTAGTCCTGAGAGCGGGAAATTAGAAGGCACGTCAGTGGTTGCAGCCGGGGACAGCCCCTTCCTATATAAAGGGTTGCCCGGGGTTTGAATTGCCATTGCTGTTTCTGGAGTTAAATAAAAGAGTTACAGTTACATTGTTTCGAGTCTTCCTTCAATCGCCCACGATTTAACATTGGCGACGAAGGTGGGATCTGAAGGAACAGGACTGCACATCAATCTCCAAGCAATCATCAGCCACCCATCCGATCCACTGAAACACCGGTCAGATCATCGGCTATCATGATGTCTGCAATCACACCGCCCGCTCCATTCAACCCAACCGGGGAAGATTGGGAAGCTTACATGGAGCGATTCTATATGTTCATGGAGGCGAACGATCTGCTGAGCTTATCAGAGCAGAGGAAGAGGGCCCTTTTCCTCACCCATTGCGGCCCGGCAGTGTTTAAAATGGCAAAAACGCTTGCCGCCCCAGCCGATCTGAAGACCATGACCTGGACAACGTTGCAAGAAATACTCAAGGCACACTACGCACCACAAGCATCATCCCTGGTAAGAAGGCATGAGTTTTATCGGAGGGACCAAAGAGAGGGAGAGACAATCAGTGCGTTCGTGGCGACCTTGCGGGAAATAGCTGCCGCATGCGATTTCCTGAATCTAGAAGAGGCCATGAGGGACCGTCTAGTACTGGGACTGAGGGACCTCACATTACAGAGTAGGTTGCTGGCCCGGCCTCAAATTACATTCAAGGAGGCCTTGGAAGAAGCATCCGCAACCGAAGCTTCCCAGAAATCGGCGGCGGCTATGAAGCAAATGAAAAGCGGGCCGCCCGTAAAGGAGGAGGCGGCCGTGCACTATGAAAGAGTGGAATCGGGTTCGGAGGAAGAGGACGAGGAGGATGAAGTCCATCACCTCCGAGCCGATCGCAAGGAGAGACAACAGGGGAAGAGAGAGGCCTGGTGCTCGGGATGCGAAGGGAACCACCCGAGAGCCGAATGCAGATTCCGGGACGCTATCTGCCAAAGATGCGAAAAGAAAGGGCACATAGCGAGGGTCTGCAGGGCATCCCAGCCAGCCTCAAGGAGGACCAGACCCCCCCGATCACCAACAAACAACAGAAAATTCCAGACAAGTGGGAAGAGACAACCGTTTGGGCGAGGACAAAGAAACGATGACCATCAGGCGGATCGAGGCGAGACCCATCAAACCATCGTGATCGGCCATGCCAGCGCGGGAAAGGCAAATAAGATGGCGGCAACAGTCTTGATCGAGGGGAGACCCTGCAGAATGGAGGTGGACTCGGGATCCAGCCTATCGATGGTATCCTGGACAACAATCAAGAAGCTCCTGCCACACATCACAGCCCGCGACCTCAAACAACAGCGCCTCACCCTCATCGACTACCAAGGGAACCGAATTCCTGTGGTAGGCATTGGCAAGTTCAACGTAGCCTACAAGACATTCAAAGCCACGCTACCCCTCACGATTGTGGACAGAGACCGGCCCAGCCTGCTGGGCATGGAGTGGTTCGAGCCATTGGGGCTAGCCATCACCGGCGTCGATCACATCAGAAACGACACCTGGGAGGAGGACCTGATGAGGGAGTTCGCAGAGGTCTTTAACAATGAGCTAGGCAAGTACAAAGGGTCCCCAATCTCATTCAATTTAGACCCCCAGGTAGCCCCAATCCGAATCAAACCCCGGAGAGTCCCTTTTGCGCTACGGCCAAAAATAGACGAACAATTAGATAAACTGGTCGTGCAGGGAGTGTTAGAGCCAATAGACCACGCGAGATGGGAAACCCCCATCGTGACACCGATTAAACCGGACGGGTCAGTACGCTTGTGCGGAGACTATAAAAGTACATTAAATAAGGCGCTCCAACAAAGCGCATACCCTGTACCAGTAGTCCAACATCTCTTGCATTCCTTGGGGAGGGGAAGAATCTTCGCAAAATTGGATTTAGCACAAGCATACCAGCAGCTGCCCGTAGATGAAGCCACCGTGGAAGCACAAACCATCGTTACACACAGGGGCGCATTCAAATGTAAGAGACTGCAATTTGGGGTGAGCGTAGCACCCGGGCTTTTCCAAAGCCTGATGGAATGACTCCTACAGGGAATCGAGGGAGTCGTCCCATATTTCAATGATGTATTAATATCAGCAAGGGACACGACTCAATTGAAGCAGCGGCTGAGGGAGGTGCTGACAAGGTTCCAGAAAGTGGGACTCAAAGTTAAAAGGGACAAGTGCCAACTAGCAGAGACTCAGGTCGAGTTCCTGGGATACTTGATAGATGAGTCGGGAATTAGACCCACCCCCGGGAAGCTGAGAGCGATCAAGGAAGCACCCCCCCAAAAAAATAAAACCGAACTGCAGGCATTTTTGGGGTTGCTTAACTTTTATAATATCTTCCTACCGCAGAAAGCTACCACTGCTGAACCACTCCACCGGCTACTGGACAGGAAGGCAGAATGGAAATGGGGGGAGCGAGAGAGGAAAGCGTTCGAAGACATAAAGAACCTTTTAACGTCAGACAGAGTTTTAGTGCAATACAGTGGGACATTACCCATAAGACTAACTTGCGATGCATCCCCCTTCGGCATCGGAGCTGTATTGAGCCACAAGATGCCTAACGGAACAGAGGCCCCCATTGCATTTTTCTCCCGGACTTTGTCAAAACCCGAACGGAACTATAGCCAATTGGACAAAGAGGTGTTAGCCGCAGTAGCCAGAATAAAAAGGTTCCATGAGTATCTCTACGGTCGGAGTTTTGAACTAATAACCGACCACAAGCCATTGTTAGGCATCATAGCAGGGGACAAACCAACACCCCCCGTTTTGTCACCCAGAATGCTAAGATGGGTGGAGTTTCTGGCGGCCTACAAGTACACACTGCTCCACCACCCGGGAAAATCAATCGACCATGCAGACGCCCTCAGCAGGTGCCCACTTCCAGAAACGGGGGAGGATCCAGCGCCAGCGATGACCACCCTGCTAATCGAGACGATGGAGGAAGCCCGAATTTCTGCAGCTGACATCGCGAGGGCCACCTCAAAGGACAAAATACTGGCGCGAATTTTAAATTGGATCTGGAAGGGGTGGCCGGAGGAAAAAGACATAAGCACAGAGTTCCTGCCATACAAACGGAGGCAAAATGAACTGTCAGGACTAAGGGGGTGCGTGTTGTGGGGGGATAGAGTCATTGTTCCAAACACACTAAGACAACAGACACTCAGATTACTCCACGACGGGCACCCGGGGATCGTGAGGATGAAAGCCCTGGCCAGAAGCTACGTGTGGTGGCCCGGGATGGACAAGGAAATCGAGACGTGGGTGTCCTCCTGCGCAAACTGCCAAGAGTCGAGGGCAGCACCAAACTCAGCCCCCGTCCACGACTGGGAAAACCCGGGAACACCATGGGCCAGATTGCACATCGACTTCGCAGGGCCGTGCAAAGGGAATACGTTCCTAGTCATCGTGGACGCATATTCAAAGTGGCTCGAAGTAGTGCTCATGTCGACGACCACAGCAGACGCAGTGATTAAAGTATTGAGACGCCTATTCGCCACACATGGGATTCCCGACCTCATAGTCTCCGACAACGGGCCGCCGTTCACATCAAACACCTTCGAGATGTTCCTCGCTGACCAAGGAATAAGGCACGCCTTATCGGCCCCCAAAAAACCTTTGATGAACGGTTTGGCGGAACGGATGGTGAGATCTACAAGGGAGACGCTTATGAGATTAGGCCCAGGGGACATTCAGGCCAAATTAGATAAACTATTAGCCATCCAGCACATTACACCAAGCGCCACGACCCACCGAAGCCCAGCAGAATTATTAATGGGCCGTAAGCTGAGATCCCCTCTGGACAGACTGCACCCGCAGTACAGCACAGAGAAGCCAACCAACTCCACGAGCAGAATCCGAGAGTTCCAGCCAGGGGACAGAGTCTACGCAAAAAACCTGAGCGGAAACCCACTCTGGGTACCAGCAACAATAACCCAGGTGACGGGGCCCCTGTCCTACCGGGTCCAGACAACAGACGGCCAGCACTGGAAAAGGCACATCGACCAGCTCAGGGGAAGATTAACGAGAGTCGAGAGGGAAACCCAGCACAACAACCAGGGGGAAGGAAAAGACACGCAAGTGGTACCAGAGTGGGCCAATACACAAACGCCAGTTCTGGACACGCCTAACACCAGCCCGGAAGAAGATAACAGCGAGCACGTACCTGAGTCCACGGAGGAGGCGACAGGCGCCGAAAGGAGCCGGCGGAGACAGCCAAGTAAAGTGGGAGAAGGAGGCGAATCCACGCCGGAGACCGAGTTCGAGAGAGTTCCGGAGCCCACACAGAGGAAGCAGTGGACCTCAACCTCTCAACCCGAAGGCACCGGAACGACTGAACTGCGCAGGTCCGGTCGAACCTCCAAGTGACCCGCCTACTTACGCGACTACGTAGCATAGAGACCCCGGATGGGCGGACACTGAACTAGGGGGGAGGAGTGTTAGATATCAAGTACAGTTCAAATGAGCCAATCAGGAATTAGTCCTGAGAGCGGGAAATTAGAAGGCACGTCAGTGGTTGCAGCCGGTTGCCATTGCTGTTTCTGGAGTTAAATAAAAGAGTTACAGTTACATTGTTTCGAGTCTTCCTTCAATCGCCCACGATTTAACACCCTGGGCATGAGATCAGCCCCCTGCAAAGTCCTCATCTGCCAAGGAGGCTGGCCCTGGTTCACTGCTCGCTGAAATGCCTGGACTCCCAGTGATGGAGGGAGGGCTGGAGTTACTAAACAGACAGCCACATTAAGTGCCTGAAGGACTCCATCCTATTACTGGGAGTCCAGGTGCCTCAGTGTTTGGTGAGCAAGACCTTGGCTAGGCTCCTTGAGAGAAGAGGAATTTTCAGGGTGCCGATCTAGTCTCCAGGCTGGCTACAACACAATGTTCATTCTCAGCCTTATTTGAGATTCCTAACTGCAATGGACAGCAAAGCTAGGGTTGATCCCGATTACTTCTCTCCACCGCAGTGCTTCCTGGATGAGGCTTATAGCTGCAAGCCCAAAGCAGCGGGAGGTGAGGGCTGCCTTGGTGCCACAAGGCTCAGGCTCTTAGCAATCCACGGAGTACATGCTCAAATCGGCACTGAGACCAAAAGGCGGCTGAGGGTCACTGTGTCCAACCCCCCCCTTCCCAAGGTGGTCCTTCAGCCAAGCACAGTAGGTCTGGGGTGGATTTCTCTCCCCCACCATTAGCCTTACCTTCCAGATCCAGTCCACGTGACTCACAAAGGCCTGCACTTGGCTGAGGAGTGTGGGCAGGGCAATGGGCAGGGCGATGTGGGAGGGGCAGCCTCATGGTCATGAACAGCCCAGATTAATTGCTTCAACAGGCCATATCCAGCCCATGGGCCGTAGCTTGAGGACCCCTGCTATAGATGGATACTATAGATTCCATTCCATTCTAATTATTTTGATGCATTTTGAATCAGTGATGACTTCTGGTGCCTACCTGGATGAGTCCCTACAGTTTTCTTGGCAAACATATTGGGAAAGTCTGTTTTACTTCTTAGGATGAGAGAGAATAGTTGGACCAGCTCCCTGAGGTAGTTTGTACCTTAGGCATGATTTATATTCATGGTCTTAATAGGCAGAGCCATGGTCAAAGAATCAGTAAGATACATAGCACACTGGCAACAAAATTGGGACTCTGAGTCAGTATCTTTGTCAAGCTTCCAAGTAATATGTTCCCTGAAACAAAACCTAAGGCATTCATCTATCTTTAAAGTTTGTTTATTAGAAAAAGAAATAATTGATGGAAAGGGAAAAGAGAAATGCATTGTATACAATTTAGAATTAAAAATGAATTGAAGTAAGATTTCTAGATATAATGAATTTTAGAAAATGCAACAGTTGAGATTGTAATACTTGGAATGTATTTAATTGTAAAAATGAAATTAATTAGAATATTGGAAATTAAGCTGAAAATTAATTTTGTTTAAATTAAAGCAATGGATAATTACTTTGATTTATAAATGAACTGAAATAAGATTTAGAAATACAAATAAGTTTAATGCATGAGATTGTAATATTTGGAATAATTTAATTAAATTTATATATTTGAAAAAGTAATTGAAAATTGGATTTAAAATTTAAGAAAACGTACTGTGCAAAGTAATTTGGTTTATTGTTTAATAAAAATGATTGTAATGTTATATACTTAAGTGACTTTTAGTAAGATATTGGTTTGTAATATTTGGAAAAGTTGACAAAGAAAAATATGTGATTAGAATAAGGGAATTTAGGGAAATATGGGGAATTACATTATGTTGTGAGATTTTAAACTTAAGGGTTTTAACTTGGAGAAAAAAAAGGGAAAATTGAATTTGATTAAGATTAGATATTAGGGTGAAGAGTAACATTGGTTAATAAAAATTAGAAAGAAAGATTATTATGGCAAAAAGTGAAATATATAAATTGTGTTGGAAATGACCAAAAATTGTATAAATATATGACTCGGCCAATACTCTGTTCAGAAAAAATGCATTGTATGTCTGTTTGTATGTTTGTGTAAAAAATAAAAAAATGTTTATTAAAAAAAAGTCTGTTTATTAGGAGCATATCAAATTGGCAAGGACTTGGTGTAATTCCGACTCTGGTTAGATTCTGGAATTATACCCAGCAAAAAGGAAAAGTTTGAAACTTCCCTCCAGAGTCATAATCTCCAATCAATTCTTAGTCCATCATTCCAGTGACTCCAAACTCCACCTTCCTCCAGCTGCAGGATCTTCTCTGTTCTCACGGGAAAGCATGCCACCTAGACATAACATTCGCCCTTTATCTCTATAACCCCTCTTTCAACAGCTAGAGAGTGGCGAGCATGAAATACCATTAAATTCCTTTGCAGAATGCCTAAAGTAGCTAAGAAAAGAATAGACAATAGCTAGAATAAAATATGGCTACACATATGCTGTCTTCAGGGCCGACAATCTTAGAATTTCGAATGTACAGCTTTTAAGGCACAGTGGTCTTCGTATCTGCAAAACATTTGATGTTTTTGGCAAAACAAAACATTTAACACTTTGACTTTAAACATTCTAAATGTGTCCGGAACATACAGTAGACGTAGTCCTCAACTTATAACAGTTCGTTTGGTGAAGGTTCAAATTTACAATGGCATTGAAAAAAGTGAACGATGATGATTTTTTACACTTATGACCATTGCAGCATTGCCATGATCATATGATCAAAATTGGGACACTTAATAACTGATTGTTATGTATGATTGTTGCAGTGTCCCAGAGTGTCATGTGATCACCTTTTATGACTTTCTGACAAGCACAGCCAATAAGGAAGCAAGATTCACTTAACAACCCTGTTACTAACTGTAACAACTACAGTACTTCACTTAATAACTGTGGCAAGAAAAGTCATGAAATGGGGCAAAACTCACTTAAAAGAATTGGGACTTATTTAGCAACAAAAACTTTGGACTTAATTGTGGCCATAAGTCAAAGACTACCTGTAGTTCTTCCCAAGGGTAGGTTCTACTTACCTTTGCTACAGTTCACAATGGGAGTGCGCGTGTGTGCTTCTGCACATGTGCAGACGGTATTTAATGACATCTGGGTGGGTGGGCAGTGTCAGTTTTGGAAGACAATTTTCTTTTTGCTTTTAAACTGCCACATATTTTAGCTGGGGAAGTTGGGAGGGGGTTGTTGTTGGAGCAGTAAAAGTAAGTCATAACAACATTCCGTACTCAAGGACTTTTGCCGGCGTCTGATGCAGACTATATGAAGACTGTATCTGGTGGAGTGTGAAGAGTTGATTGGACAATGTGATGAACTTGTGGGTGTGGGGCAGGGCTGTGAACTCTTAGCTGGGTGGGAGAAACCTGGAAGCTTTCAGATTCAGGTTTTCCCAGATGTGCCAACATGACATCTCTAATAAATTGGAACTTTGAGGAACCTCAGGCCTCAGAGTGTTATTTTGTTGGGGATGTTTCTTGGAACCCTGACATTAACCTGAATCTCTAAATATCCCTGAAAGGGGGATGAATGGGGTGCTGAGCCCCAGAACCAACCTGAAGCTTGGGTGGTGCAAAGACTCAGTGAAGATGGAAGGGAGAGAGAAGATTGCAGAGAGAGCCATGGGAGCACATACTGGAAGGTTTGTCGAGACCCGGTATTCTCCTTCTGAAGCGTGGGATGAGCCCTTGAAGCTGCAGAGGTGATGCAAAGCCTAGGAGCTCGGTCCAGGGAGATGGATTCTGGGAAAAGTTGCCAGAATGATCCAACTCCAGAGATGGGACCGAAAGAACGATCGCCTGGATGTCATCCTGTATCCAGCCCTCGTCAACCTGCCTTCATAATACCCCTGCGGATTTATCCCCCCAGGCTGGAGATTCTATCCTGGCCAGGAGTGGGTCCAGTGCCAGTGGATGCCAGTGCCTGCTGCTCCCCTCTTATGGGATCACCATGGGCCCAATTTGCCCCAACGTTCCCAGCACCGCCGTGGGGTCTGATCCAGCAGCCAGCTGTGCCGCCACCACAGGTTCCAGTTCAGCCGCAGGCATTCACCCTGCCTCCAACCGCCGTGGTGATTCCGCCAGCAAGGGCCCTGCCACCATGGTTGAAGTGATGTTTGACGGTAAGCCTGCCAAACTGGCCTATTTCCTCAGCCTAGTATGGGCTCATATAGATCAGTATGGAAAGCAGTACGAAACAGATCACAACTTATTATCTGCAATCTCAGAAGAGATGAATGAGGGAGATGCTGCTGACTGGATAGCCCAACTGCATAATGAGGGGGTTGATGAATTAAATGATGCAGAAGGTTTTGTTGAGCTGCTCCAGGCCAGATTCGAAGACCAAGATTGAGTCAACAAGAGTAAAGCTGAGATAAAGGTGATGAGTCAAGGAAATTGACCCATAAAGGACTTTGTATGGGACTTTAGACGGGTCGCGGGGAACCTTAGACATTGGCCGAACAGAATACTTCTGCATTATTTTAAAGAAGCCATTGATCAAGAATCAGAACCGTCTGTGGAATCCGGGGGGTGCCAGAGTGACTGCAAGACTGGTATACCATGTCAATAGCTCTTGATAGAGAAGTTCACAACCACTCAGCTGAGAGGGCCCCAGGGAGGACTTTTGCTAGACATCCTCTGACAGACCCCACTGGAACCTGCTCAATCTACAGGGATAATCAAGTGCTACCATTGTGGGTCATCGAGCTGCGGAGTGTCTGGCACCTGCGCCGGTTCCACACCCACACCCCACCACATCAGCCCGAGGCAGAAGGGACCCACAAAAGCCCCCGGATGCCAACAGAATTGTCCTCCAGGCAGTCTAGGCTTCTCCTCCCCCTGGAGAGAATGAAGAGACCTCATCCAAAGACTTGCGCCTGGGCTGGCCAGCAGTAGCATGGAAATGA